CATTCATGAGGAGCAGCCCGGCCTTCTCGCACGCGCATGGGCTGAAATGTTCCAGCTTTGGGTTTGGATGTCTTCTCAACCCACTTCACGTAATCGTGATGCTGGCACACGCATATGCGACATACAGCACAGAAACGCAGACCTCAAAAAGGTGCACCAAGCCGATCGCCATCGGTAGCGTCAGTGCCCGGAGGCGACCTTCACAGACACGCCCGAGAGAAGAGTTCATTTTGGAGGACATGGAGTGCCTGCCGCTGCCCCAGGTGTCCTCCCGGAGAGTCCTACTCTCGCCAGTTTTAAGCCACGGCAGTCAAGCATCCCCCAAGCAAACATCCGCCAAGCAAACGACACATTCATGTTTTCTTTGAAATGATATCCTAGTGTGGCTCGCGTTCGGGGGTTGTGGTGGTGCACGGCTCTCGGGTTCAAGCCATGAACGTCCGCTCGACGCATAACCAGATGATGTTTTGGGCTTGCCGCGCTGGCACTCCACGGAAAACGAGCACGGGAGTCGAAGACTCAGGCGCATGCGGCTGCAGCACATCGGGCGCGACAAATCCCGCACAAGGGCACCACCGATCATCACGAATCATGCCCTGACCATGAAGATTCCGATTATGTAGGAACCTCCCTTCAAGTCATTCCTCGTGCCGTCGGCCAGCCACTGCTGTTTATGTACACTCTACCACTGCCCAGCTTGGCTATTCAAAGGTTGGCTATTCAAACGCTCCATCCCCTCATGCAAGCGCGAGGGATCTTCACTCCGCTTCTCCGGCGGCGAGGCCTCGCGCCAGCGACATGTCAGCTCTGATCCCAAGCCAACGGTCGAGCATGTCGAAGACAATCTTGCCAGATATTTAGGCACGAGGTAGAGGTTCTACAACATGGATGCATGCACTCATTTGACCTTTGCCTGCTATTTTCGTCGGACTCCTGCATGCGCATCCGCTTTGGCCAACAGTTGCTGGCCCCGGAATGGTCAGGAACTAGAGGTGAGAATGAAAGGCACCTGCTGGGTGAGGCCGACCCGAGCCAACGCATGCGTCAAGTGTCCGAGCCTGTTGTTTAGTGTCATGGCTGATGCTTTCACTCTCGAGACTTTGTCGGCTGCTCCGAGCTAGCACCAAAGGTCACAGAGGTATCTGCCCTGCAGCTGCGACTTCAACAAGGCTGATGCTTGACCCCTGTGGGAAAATTTGAAGGCTCTGCAGCACGGGCTTCCGTCACCAAACAGCCTGACCTGGTGTAAGCTTGCAGACAAGAAGTCTGAAACAATTGCAGGAAACGAAAGCCCTGCGATGCAGGGCCTGCGCAACAAGCCTGCTATGCAGGCAATGTAGATGCAACTTTGAGGCTCGGCACGATGTGCACACTACAGGGGAGTGCTTCGGCCGGCTTGGTAATCAGGCAAGACGCAGTCTTATGAGACTTATGAGACTACACAGACTACAAGGAGCTGCCCTGAACCCAAGTTCGGGCCTTGCATCCGAAGTACATTAGCATCAGTGAAATGGTGCCACCTGCAGGACCGCTCAACCGGTGGTTTGACCGTGGCGAGTCCTGGCCTTTGCACATCTGCGGCTCCAGATCACTCCTTGCAAGGGCAGCAGAGAGGCAGAGGAGGCAGTGACTGAGGCAGCCGTGGCGCATCGTATTGGTAGCGCTGAAGTCCATCTGGAACTCCTTGGCTCTCCTGCGAGGTGGAATGCAACTAGCAAAAAACCCGGCATGCTCAGGTCTTGAAGCCGTGTTTGCTTGGAGCTCGTGCGATGAGCAGACCTCTTCTCAGCGTTGCCCCTGAGAGGCCCCGGAAGGCACGGTAATTCAGCAGCGTGCTCTTCGGTTACAATAAAAGGAAAGGCTCCCGCCCCCACTTCGCCTTTTCTTCCGTTGCATGTCTACTGATTGACTGACTGACTATTCAACTATTCATGTTGGAACGACGAGCAAGCTGGCACCCCCATGAAACCTTCACTATTCCCGCCACTGCTACAATTGCAAGCCACGGCCGGAAGTCAAGTCAGAAGACGGTGCAGCGCGCCTTCCCCTTGCCGGTGGTCCCACCAAAATCAATGTCGGTGAACTCCTGGGACAAGGTCTCTGTTGGGCCCCGGGAACCTCAGGCCTTCACAAAAAAGGTCAAGCTGGTGGTGCGCTGCTTACATACGATTCTCATGCCTTGTACTTCAAAAGCATAAAAATGCATTAAGTCTTGACTTGGCAAGCTTCCAGGCGCGAGGGGTCGGTCTTGGCTTTATTCTCCAGCATGCCCTCCTGGAGCCTGTGTCACAGACACCACGTGTAGCATCAAGCCGATACTAGAAGCAAGTAAGTGGGAAGCAGACCGCATTTACTTCCTGAAATTTGCTGCTATGCGACTACTGCAGCACTTCCAGGGGTTTCTGAGCTCGTGGCATGTCTATGAGTTTTGCAGGGCGCCGTTCCAGCAGCGCTCGAACCTCTTCAAGGCATTCGATGCAAGGCGAGTTTAGGCAGTTTAGGGAACGCGCAGCAAAAAAGAGCATGAACTGGCTCGGTTCAGTCACGAACTGGCTCCCATATCCACCAGACTTCCACTTCTCAGGCTCCCTTCGAAACAAAGATCAGCTCTGCGGATATCTTTCCTCCGTGTGACTACTTACGACTACCCTGATTGCCACGCAAGCATCCATCTCCTCAACCCAGACCATCCAAATCATCACGGCCTCCTTGAAAGTCAGCTCCGTGTCACGAATACTTCTCTTCTGCGTTCGCCAGCGCCAGTACCTTGGCTGCATTCGAGCAGAAGCTCAACTTTCAGGGCGGGTATACAGATAGACGGAGTTTCAAGCAGTCGATTCGCAAAGATTAACATGGAAGCTGGCACATATTGCGGGACGGATTCAGCTTGGGGCACGAAGCAGTACTGGTGCATGCACTGTTGACCTCACACTCTGGGTCCTTGCCCTACTCATGAAACATGTCTTCACTTCGAGCATAGGTTGCCAGTGAAAGAAGGCACCGCTGTAGACCACGCAGACTGTCTCGAAGACGCCCTCCGATGCAAACCGTGAGATCACAAGGCACTGGTCTGACCCTTGACAACCTTCTGCTGGGATTCCACCCTAAACTTTCAACTGCCGTAATAGTTCTCGAACAAAGCCTTCGAGAAACTTGGTTACCCTGCGGCCATCAGGACAGACACGTGGAGCTGCGAGCTCAAGATGTATATTATATATATATATACATATATATATATTTGTAATATATGATATAATATATATATATATGATATAATATATATATATATATATATAGATATATACACATAATGTTATATATATATATAATGTACAACTAACTAACTCTCCTGACCGTAACACCTACTCTAATTTACTCTTAAATATCCTTCATAGTCCATCTTACTCATTATCTCTATTACTACTAGTGTTAGTATTAGTATTAGTATTAGTATTAGTATTAGTATTAGTATTAGTATTAGTATTAGTATTAGTATTAGTATTAGTATTAGTATTAGTATTAGTATTAGTATTAGTATTAGTATTAGTATTAGTATTAGT